GTTTTATTGTAGTAAAAGAAAAACACATAATTTTAAACGTACCACCTTAACCATTTTTACATGTATAGTTCAGGAGTGTTAAGTGCATTCACATCGTTCTGCAACAGATTTCTAGAACATTTTCATCCTTCACAACTGAAACTCTATACTCATTAAACACTAATTCCCTCTCCCCTCTTCCCCCAGCCCTTGGCAATCATCTTTCTACTTTCTGTTTATATGATTTTGACTACATTAGATGCTTCCTATGAGTAAACACATACAGGACTTCTCCTTTTCTGACTGGCTGGCTTCATTGAGCATACAGTCCTCAAGGTTCACCTGGGACAGGACTGACTCCTTACATGCCTTTTTTGACACCCTTTCTTCTAATGTCTATGCCATAAAATTCAGATCTTTATCATATGCTGCCTGCCACTGCTCTGATTATTTCGTGTGTATATGCTCCCTTTTCCTGCCAGATAGTAGCCTCTTAGTGATCAAACATCAGGTCTTAAAAAAGTCTTTTAGACCCTACCCAGCACCCAACACTGTCCTGAGAACAAGGAAGATACACCCTAGAGAGTAAACTCTGAAATCGGGTACTATTCTGTTTTATTTACTGCTCCTCCCTAGCAATGAACACAACACCTGACATATAGAAAATGCATAGGATATATTTTTAAAGGAAATTAACAAACTCAGTATTTCTGAGGACTGATTGAGAATGAAAAGATGAGAAGTTAGAGACCCAAATCCCAGCAACATTTCTAAGACCTAAAGGAAGGGAGGAAAGTATTATTAGCCAAACTAGAATCAGAATCTCTGAAAAATATGTACCTTAAAATTACGCAAAGCAGAATACCAAACTATTTATAGTCTATTGTTGAATAAGAGAGACGGACAGAGTGACACAGAAAATGGCTCCAATTTCCCAAGATTTCCCATTCCTTGGTGGCATTTCAAGTTCTGACATATAGACGTTCTCTAGAGAATGGGAGCTGGCCAGGTCGAGCAGCCCATGTCCACAATGTCTTGTCCTATCACAAAAAATAGAAACAAACTCATGGCTATGCTTTCTGCAAATTCCCCCACCTTTCATATCGAGGAACAGACAAATCCCCAGGATGCGTGTGTGAAAAAGCCAGAGGTGGATAAAAATAATTCAATGACAAATGCTGGAAAAACATACAAAGGGGCAGAAGCCAGACATTCGTGGGATTCCCTGACAGCTCGATCCACAAGGAAGGGCTGGACTGGAAAAAAACAGGGCCTCAGGTTCCTGCCAAGCTGTCTGAGGCCCTGTTCTTCCCAAATCATTCCAAGCAGCAGCCAAGACTTTACAGTAACCCTTCCAGGTCTCACAAAGAAAAACGCACTGAGAGCCCACTGAGTACTCCACACCTAGAAAATCCTCTCTGATGTAGTCCAATTCCACGGAAGGCTGGCAGTAATGATGAGACGGCTCTGCACATCAACCTTCAGCTCCTAATGACTCCCCATGTGCCCAAAAAACGGATAATTAAAAGGCAGCTTGAAAAATCTAATCTTTCTTATTGGCCAAAGAAAAGCTAACATAGAAACTGAAAACATCACTTTAAGGAAGAGAGGTCATAAACACTTGGTACCTGCAACCTGGAGTCTCTACTCTATAATTCTAAGTCAGCCCTGCTTGGAGGCACACCTCAGGCTTCTAAACATGTGACTGTATTTGGCTCTAACTACTTTCTCTTCTGGAGAATGGCCTGCAATTAATCTCACTTATTACCTCTGAAAAAGTAACAACAGAGGGATGGCTGGCCAAGTCCAGCTCCAGAGTGTCTAGGGAACTGCAAGCTACATGGCCAGGCCTCAGACTGTCTGGGCAAGTCGTGGGCTCTTTGCCTTCCTCTCCCACAACAAAGCCGGAACAGGACTCCAGACAGACCAAAGGAACCAAGGGATTTGAGGAGCTGGGCTGAGCTTATACTGACCCAATGGGAGACGACAACCCTGAGGCTACATTTGGGGTGATTTCAAAAGGAAGGGAGAAGAATAAGGTCGTTTGATGAAAACTTGTGTGATCCATAAAACTGAGAACAATAGCAACACCATAGGGAAATGAAAAATAACACTATTTGCAGAGTTCTTGTGAGTCACCAGTTTTCATTCCTGTGGCTACCAAGTCAGTGAATTCTCTGACGTGCTGAGATGAAAAGTACAGCTAGCAATAGGATTCTCTTTACATTTTAGTACAGTTTACAGGGAAGCCCCTAGTATAGTGAATTATCAGAACTAAACTGGAATCCACTGTTGCTACTGTAGAAAAACTATTAAGAGTATCTTTTATTTACCTAGCACCTATTTCCAGGGAGATCAAAGTACTTTAAAGGCAATCTAAAAGCTCTCAAAACAGGCCACTTATATGTAAGTATGCTTACCCAATAAAAAGATTAAATGAATAGCTTAGGGTCACTTAATGTCAAAACCAGTAATAAAACTCAGATCTCTAAGCTACAAATCCTGTATTTGTTAAACTTAGTCACTCTTATGATTAAAGGAGGAACAACAAGAGACTAAATAAATATCACAAAACAGTGACTTACCAGGTCAAAATGGAAATCAGGACACTGTACTGTGCAGGTTGCATGCTGCAGGTCTGGCTGGGGCCTACATCACAGCCAAGTCTGGAAAGACCTCTGAGAATTCACTTAGGGTTCCTTTAGGGTGGGTACCTCTGGGAATTCCACGTGGAACTGAAACTCTCAAGCTCAGGCTCCAGGAAGTCCTGGCAACCAGTGGTCATTTGGGGGCAGAGGAAGATGTCCCAGGGCTACCCTGAACTGAAATGGGACCTGAGAACTGGCTCTTATGTTTGAAGAGGAGGTAAAGCACTCAGTGGAGCTGTTGTGGGTAAAAAGAACTCGAAAAGGAAAAGACCAGGGGACTTTGTGGGGGTTGCTTTTTGGCTGCAGTGGTTGAGAAGTAAATCGCATAACGTACCATGAGCATTGCCGCAGCCTTGTGGGCAGTCTGGCTGGGAGAAGGCTTCTCACAGCGCTGAATCTTAGGTCCCGGCACATCTTTGATAGAACTCATCATCCTTCATCTCAGTACTGACAGGTGCGACCAAAAGAAAGCTCTAAACCCAGCCACAATTTTTATTAAAAATGTTTTCTCTCATTCCATCTACGAGTATAAAAAGTGCTAAAACTCAATTTCTCCAAAATGTGTAGTTTTGACATTGTATTTGCAGTAGGCAATGCCTGTAGCCTTGTCATAGAGACATTATATCCAAAATTGTAGTGAAAATGTTTTCCATAAAATCAAGGCTCTGTACTTTTGCGCCAAATCCAGATAAAAACAAAAAAACAAGGCTCTGAATTTAAAATGAAAATGCAATATCTGGAAATTTTTAAATGGAAAATAAAGCTCTATGGTATAAACAGAATTACAGAATTTCTTTTTTACGACTTATGTTTTAAGAATGCAGTTATTCTGTAGATTGTAAATCACCAAACAGCAGACTTCTCCTGGGAAAAGGACCGTGTGGAGGATGCTCTGCCTTAAAAAGTCCTGCCTCTTGGTCGTCAGCTCTTTATAATTCTCAGTTGAGATGATTCTTTTCACCCTGACCACAATGATCATTGGTATGAAAGACACTGTACCACAGGATGATGTAATGTGCTTATATTTATGCTGCATCCTGGGCAGAGCTTCTGCTTCCCAAATTAGTTCCTTAAGTAGTAATTCTAACACCAATAGATACTTTACCAACAACTAGGTATTTCCTCCATGCCTAAGTCTTCAGTGCTCCCTCCAAATCTCAGGGCAAGGCAGCATACTAAAAGGTAGAGGCTGGAAGTACTGGGACGGGGTGTGGGGGCTTGGTTGGGCACCTGTGGTAGAACTTCTTTAGTTGGAGGGAACAATATCTCAGTTGGTCAAAATACTTAATGGCCGGAAGCAGTAGCTCATGCCTGTAATCCCAGCACTTTGGGAGGTGGAAGGGGGCGGATCACAAGGTCAGGCGATCAAGACCATTCTGGCTAACATGGTAAAACCCTGTCTCTAATAAAAATACAAAAATTAGCTGGGTGTGGTGGGGCTTGCCTGTAGTCACAGCTACCTGGGAGGCTGAGGC